AAAACTAAGTGCAGGCAAAAGGTTCTGACTTAAAAGAAGTGGGAGAACAAAAATGTACAAAAGAAATCAGTGAAGGAAAATGCAAACCTAACAATCATAACCTTAAATGTGAGTAGATTATATGTTTAATAGGAGTGTATATGTATAGCCTATATCAGATTGTGCGCTGTCTTGGGGAGGAAGGTGGGAGGGAGGGAGAGAAAAATTTAAAACTCAAAAGCTTATGGAAGTGATTGTTGATAAATGAAAATATATTAATTTTTTAAAATGTGAGTAGATTAAATAATTCAATAAAATGAGATACCTCCTCATCGAAAGCCATAGCCATTTAAAAATTATTTTAACCATCTGTACTTGAAAAATAAAATTTGTTATGAAAATGTATATTGCCTATATCATCAAATGCAGCTGTATAGAAAGTTCATTGAGGTAGTCCAAGGGATTGATACAGGTAATAGATATATAGATAGAAATGATATAGAAATAGATCTGGTTGTAGATATATCTTGTACACATATTCCAGACAGACAATGAGCTGAGTCCAGAATTGAATAGGAGGAGGAAATTGGGTCCAATTTCATTTGAGAAATCATGGGAGCCCCCCAGAGTGTATGGGGCCCTTATCTATACACATAATTTGATTAAACATGTATTATTGGCAGAGACAAGATGGCAACAATACAAAGCAGGAAACAATATAAAAATTCCAAATAGATCTAGAAAATACCCCAGACCAAATCCTGATGGGAAAATCTATAAAAAGTCACCCTGAATCATTTGTCCAGTGTAGGTCAGAATAGAAAGATAGATAGATAGTTCTGAGAAAACTGGGCACATGGTCAGACCAGGAACACACTGCACTAGGAACATTCCAGCACCCAGGAATAGATTATGAACAAGAACAAAAGGAGGTCCCAGACCCATATTGGGGCATTGCAATAGAAAAAGGTGCCAACTGGCAGCTTTGTGCCCCCCCCAACCCCTTCGAAGCCATAGGTCCAGGAGGGGCCAAGAAGGGGTCCTGAGTTTGGAGCAGAGTTCTCAGGCAGGAAGGCCATGGGAAGTGTACTAAGAAAGAAGGAAGTTCAGAAACCAGCAGCAGCAGTGTGGCTCAGACTCCAGGAGCAGAGCAGGGTCTCAGCTCCAGCATTTAGCCCAGTCTGCTGAGGAATGACCAGCGCAGAAACCCCAGACCAAAGAGGAGTCTACGATTCTGTCATTCTGAAATGACTGAGCTTCCTAGCTGGACCACAGGGGCAGAGTCCAGCAGCAGTCCATGGTGTTCATACCCAAGCCCAGGTCAGGAACCTACGGAACTCAGAGCAGGGGATTAGCAAACAGACTTTGTCCTGGATCAGACTACTTTGGGAGCGCTGAAAGCTTGAAGATCCCCAGCTGGTGCTTGAGATACTCAAATAACACAACACTCCATACCCTAAGAGAGCAGCAACAGGACAAGCAGAGACCTTTCCCCCAGAAATATGGCAGCGTCTAGTGATAATAACAAGTCTGAAGTCAGGGAGTAGACTGGAAGAATGGGCAAACTAAAAAAGAGCCCCACTTTAGTGAGCTGTCACGGTGGCAAGAATGCAGAAGAAGAGTATGACTCCAAAACACCTACAAACAAAGTCTTAGAGAAAAACACAGCTTGGGCACAAATCCAACTAGAATTCCCAGAAGAGATGAAGCAAGAGTTGTTTTTTTTTTTTTTAAAGATTTTAAAATGTTCTACAAATACAATGAGAATGCTTGAGGAGAAAATTGGAAAATAAATGAGAACTATTCAAGAAAGAATTGACAAGGAAATTCACACAACAAACACAAAACTTGCCTGGGGAAAAAACTCCCTGAAAATTAGAATGGATCAAGTAGAAGTCAACGATTCCATAAGACAAGAAATATTAAAACAAATTTGAAAGACTGAGACAATAAAAAATGTAAGGTATCTCATATCAAAAACAACTGGCCTGAAAAAGGAGAAAAAAATTTTAAGAATCACTGTACTAGCAGAATACCACGATGAAAAAAAACAGCCTAAACATCATATTTCAAGAAATCTTGAAAGAAAACCATCCAAATCTCTCACAGAGGGTAAAGGAGAATCAGAAGGAATCAACCACTCATCTCCTGAAATAAATCCCAAAATTAAAATAACCAGGAAATTATAAAACAAATCCAGAGCTTCTAGATCAAAGAAAAAATATTTTCCAACCCACCAGAAAGAAAGAATTCAAGTATAATGGAGCCATTATAAAGATCACACATAATTTAACAGCCATCATTATAAAGGAATAGAAAGCTTGGAATATAATATTCTAGGAGGTAATGTTTATAAGCTTCTAGAGAATACCCTACCCAGGCGCAGTGGATAGAGCACCAGCCCCGGATTCAGGAGGACCTGAGTTCAAATCTAACCTCAGACAGATAACACTTACTAGCTGTGTGACCCTGGGCAAGTCACTTAACCCCCATTGCCTCCCCAACCCCCCCCCCCAAAAAAAGAGAATACCTTACCCAGCAAAACTGAGTATGACGCTAAGTTTGAATCTTGCCTCAGATTCTTTCTGGCTATGTGACCTGGGCAAGTCATTTAACCTTTCTTTTCTTTTACTTTTTTTTTTTTTCACGACGCATTGGGGTGAAGTGACTTGCCCAGGGTCACACAGCTAGTAAGTGTCAAGTGTCTGAGGCCAGATATGAACTCAGGTCTTCCTGAATCCAGGGTTGGTGCTCTATCCACTGTACCACCTTGCTATCCCCACTTAACCTTTCTTATCCTCAGTTTCCAAATCTGTAAAACGGGGATTAAAAAGTACCTACAGGGCAGCTTAAGGGTTTCTCCTCTCATTCCTACCTCTTAATATTTTTTTCTCCTTATAAAGAGCATGAGCAGGGTTCTCCAAAGCATGCCTTCCCAAGTACGGGGGTCTCATTTCTTCAGTGCTAAGAGTAGTACTATGAAATCACAAAGTGCATTCAAAAGTGCCAAATTGCGTGCTACCACAAAAGCCCATCTTTTAAACAATACCACACTGAATCATCATGACCATCATGTTTTTTTTATTAAAAATATAATAAAAAACAATGGAAAGATGTGTATGTGTGGCAGGTCATATGTAGGCTACAGAATGCTAACAGAAAGATAGCTGTACACTGAAGATATTTTATTCAAGAATTAAGAATGCTTCAAGAGATTTGGAGACAGTGTATGCATACCCAAGTAGTACACTTGGGGATATCAAATGAACCAAAGGAAGACTCTTAACATGTTAATGTTAGTATTCATAGAGTTTATGGGAAAACATGGGAAACAGTCACGCTGGATAAGAAAGCACGAAGGGATTGGAATCTGCACCAGTGGAAGGAATGCCCAAATCAATGAAACCATAACTTGACCAAGTACCAATAGTGTATGTGACCAGGTAGATTATCACACCTTCTCATCCAGTGTGACTATTTCCCATGTTTTCCCATAAACTCTCTATGAATACTAACATTAATGTGGTAAGGGTCTTCTTTTGGTTCATTTGATATCCCCAAGTGTACTACTTGGGTATGCATACACTGTCTCCAAATCTCCAAATTAAAATTATATTGCTGGACTACTCTTTTTTAAAAAGTGAAAGAGAGGGGGCAGCTAGGTGGCACAGTGGATAGAGCACCGGCCCTGGAGTCAGGAGGACCTGAGTTCAAATCTGGCCTCAGACACTTGACACTTATTAGCTGTGTGACCCTGGGCAAGTCACTTAACCCTGATTGTCTCACCAAAAAGCAAAACAAAACAAAACCAGATATAATAAAAGAAATGATCTGGACTCATAAGGAACTTAAATTCTAACAGAAGAGACAAGGACATATGTAAGTAAATACAAAATAAATATAGAGAATAAATAAATACAAAGCAGTGTGAAACAGGAGGCACTAGCAGTTGAGGGACCAGGAGAAGCTTCATGTAGAAGATGGTGCTTGAGTTATATTTTGAAGGAAGACAGGCAATGAATAACATGGAAGTGAGGAGGTAGTGCACAGGCAAGAGGGTCAGCTTATGCAAAGGTACAGAGGAAATGGAGTATTGAGTGTGAGGAACAGAGAAAGCCAGTTTGGTTGGATGTAAGTATTGAGAGCTAAGAGTGATGTCAAATGAGACTGGAAAGGTCGATGGGAGCAAAGTTGCGGAGGGCTTTAAAAGCTAAACATAAGGGGCAGCTAGGTGGCGCAGTGGATAGAGCACCGGCCCTGAAGTCAGGAGGACCTGAGTTCGAATCCGGCCTCAGACCAAACACTTGACACTTACTAGCTGTGTGACCCTGGGCGAGTCACTTAACCGCAATTGCCTAAAACAAAACAAAACAAAACAAAAAAGCTAAACATAAAGGGTTTGTATTTGATTCTAGAGGCAATAGGAAGCCACTGGAGTTGGGTAGGGCAGTGACATGGTCAGATTTGGGCTTAAGGAAAATTACTTCACAGTGTAGAGAGTAAATTGAAGTGGGAGGAAACTTCAGGCAAAGAGACCAATTAGGCAGTTACTGTAATGATCTAGGCAAGAAGTGATAAAGCCCTGAACCAAGGAGGTAACTGAGTGGAAAGGGCTGGATCTTTGCGGATCCAAAGGATTGGGGAGGGATTTTTTTTTTTTTTTTTTTTACAAATCACTTTAAGCTTGAGCCTACTGTCCCCAAGGAAAAGTGTTCCCCTGATTCATGGGGATGTTCTATAATTTTTATTGCTATACCTTCTCAGTAATACCTTTTTGTAAGAGCCAATTGATGCCTACTGTTTGATTGATTCTAGAAGAAGAAGCATACCAGATGGGAGCTCATAGCAATAGTCTCAGTAACCCCATCCCATCAGGGTTACCTGACGATAGAACACTGAGGAGATATGTCATTAACCACAGGACACAAGTTTGAGTTGAGGTTGGAAAACTGAGTTCAGAAGAGATGCTATGTAGGTTAACTTCGTAATAATCCCCTTCATGTTCTCCGAGTTCCAGACAAACTAACTACTTGTAACCTGAATGCATTCCTTCTCCCTCCTTTTGCTTAGGCCATCCCCCCCATGCCTGGGATGTCCTCCTTCCTCACTTGTTGCCTCTTGGAATCCTTCTTTCAAGAAAGGAATTAGCTTCCTTCGAGGTTCAGCTTAGCTGCCGAGTACCAAAGAAAGCATTTTATAATCTCCCTAGTTGTTAATGCTTTCTCCCATCTCTAATTACTATATTTACTTATCCCTCTACACGTCATATTCTCCAGTAGACTATAGACTCCTAGAGAGCCAGGACATATTTTCCTTTTGTGTTTCTATTGCCTAGTATATTGGAAATCTTGAGAAGACAGAAGCAAAGTGCCCTAGTCTCAGTTAGTTTTCCATGGACCTGGAACCTAGGCCATTGGTGAATATGCTTCATGACTCCTTCTCTCTCACAGATATTGAAGGAATACAGAATTCAGAAGTGGCAACAAGTTATAGCCAAGTGTCCAAACTAGCTAGGGCAATGAGCAATGTCCTTTAGTGCCTGCTGCCAAAACCCAGAGTTGAGACTTGTTTCCCTACCCCACCCCAATAGAGTTTCTAAGTTATTTACACCTGACATAATTTACATAATTACATAACTTACACAAGTTTTTTTGCCAAGTTTACATACAAGTAGAGTAGCTGGTCCCCATGCCACCAGGCTTCTCTTTTCCAGGCTAAATAACCCTATCTCCTTTCTTCTATGGTGTTGCTTTCTGTGCCCTGAAACCCATCAGATCTCACCTCATATGTAATTGTCTGGGCAGCACCAATCCCTGGACAAATTTTCAGAGGGTTCTCTGGAGGTTAGCATCCTTGCCTTACCTTCCTCTCTCAAGATCTACTCACCTGCAACATCTCCCTGAAGTCTTCGGGCCTGGGCTCGGTTGTTATAGGCTGAGGCCCTGCCAGGCAGTAGGTTGATGGCCTGCCTGAACCTCTCAAGAGCTGTGCTCAGGTTGCCGGCTTCAGCCGCTGTCACCCCCTGTAACTCTAGGTTCTTGGCTTGTTCCAGCAGGTCCCCAGGGAAGCTGTCATCTGCCAGTGTGTGTGACCCAGGAAGCAGGGAAGCAGGGGGAAGAGATGAAGGGGAATCAGTCAAAGGTTTTGGGAGATCATGACTGTGGGCACTGGAGGGTGAGGACTGATCTGCTTGATTGATTGCTCTGATTGAAGTAGTAGAGAGGCATCAGTTTACTGTGGCTTATCAAGGGATCTTAGAATTTAGAGCAAGAAGCAACCTCATTTTACAGATAAGGAATTTGAGACACAGAGGAGTAGTGATTGACTCAACATCCCTGAGGTAGCAAGTAGGATTAACTGGGATTTTAACCCAGATACTCCTGCTCTAAATTCAGTGTGCATTCCACACCAAGCTGCCTGTCCTGTTCAGATTCAGCTTGAGAGCCATTTTTCAGGGTACATGTGAAGTCTTCCTGGAGACAGGAGTATATATGTGTATCTATAGATGGCAAAGGACAAAGGAATCTTATCCAGTAAAGTCCATGCTCTGATCTGGCATTCAAGGTGTTCCGTGCTCTAACTGGTTAATTTCACAGCCTCATCTCTTGTTCCTCTCCCACATGAAACCTCTACTCTAGCTGGACTTACTCATTAAACCAAGAACATACTACTTCCATTTCTGCCTCCATGTTTTTACCCAAATAACTCCCCTGCTTGAAGTTCTATTGCCTATTATCCCTCCCAATTATCAATATCCTGACCAACCTTCAAAACCTCGCTAAAATCCACCTCCATGAAGCCTTCCCAGGCCACTCAATCCTCCATGATCACTAACATCCTACAGTACTTACCGTTAACACTGTCTTGTATCATTACTTATCTTTTCATAAAGAGGTGGAAGTCTCCAGATTGTAAACTGGAAGGCAGGAGCCATGTTTCTGTATTCACTGGATCTAGCACAGTTCCTTGTACTTAGTAGATGTTTGTTTTTATTAACAAACGAAGTAGGGTGGACTCATTATAGTTTTTGGAGATGGAAAGGGAGGGATCTTAGAGATCCAGACTCCAATATTCAGCCTAGTACTGTTTAGATCAGTTCTCAAGATTCTTCTCTGGCACCAGATTCACCCCATTCTCCATCTCCCTCTCAAACATAGCATTCACTGCCAATAGCCCTTGGGGCTCCATAGAACTTAAATGGCCCAGTCTTTTTCTGAACCATGACAGAACTCTACCCCTGATGACTGGGCAAGTATACTCTAATAGGGAAGAATCGGCTTAGTAGCTGTAGATACACATCAGGTTGGGACTACATCACAAAGTTGCTATTCATGGCACTCCTTTGCTCCAGAGATTGGCTTCTTCCATCTCACCTCCACCTAACACAGATCTCCACTTCTACCAGGTAACATCCTTTTCCACTCTCTACTCCACTACCTTTTCCACTAATGATAAATACTGGCAAGGATGTGGAAAATGGGTGCCCATTTTTGCATTCAACTTTGGCCAGGTGGTTTGTGATAGTAAGAGAAAAAGGTTTCATATGTGTGAGGCTGGTCCCCAAGATGGATTCTAATGCTAGATAGTGGGGGCTCTGTGCTAAACTACACTGACAGCAGGCTAGGCACAATTTGACACAATTAGTCTCTAACTGGTTTCCTGGGGATTTCACACTAAGCCCTTGGATTAACAATCTCCCTTCTCCCAGAGAAGAAGGGAGGGCACAGATAATAAAAGGTGTCAAACCCTTTCCAGATGGGGGAAGCTTCTGGTCTAAATCCCAAATTTCTAGGCCAGATTTGTTGTAGGGACCACAGGACTCTAAGTAGGAATGGGACCGTAGCAATTTAGTCCAATCTTAGAATTAAGGAAACCAAGGCTCAGAGATGAAGTGACAGGCCCAAGGTTACACGGGAAAGAACTCTCACCTTCATCTTCCACCTGATTTTTCTCTATTTGATCTTCTTCAAGTTCCCACCCAGGCACATCTCCAAATGGGGTGTCTGGGCTGAAGATTGCTCTCAATACTGCTTGATCATTTGGAGTCCCCATGGTTAAGAAGAGCTCAGCCCAAGGCAGTGACCCAAAGATAAGAGTTGTGAGGGGAGGAAACTGGGAGGGGCTAAACAGCCAATCACTGGGAGGTAAACAGGACACTATTTGAAGACAATCCTTCCTTCCTCCCCCACTACCAGGGCCTTCATTGCAATGTGATCTATCCTGGAGTTAATGAAAGACTGGCAGAATGTTTTCAAACATTTATTCAGCTATGCCCTGCAGGAGGGTGACAGGACTTAAGGACATCAAACTTTAGGCTTAATGTGGTTTGGATGATGGCAGAACTGATTTCTAGGTTATTGGGAGAGTTTTAGTTACCTATGACTCTCTGGCATTAAATAGGATCACAGATATATAGGACCAGAAGAAATGAGAGGTAATTAACCCAATTATTTTATAAATAAGGAAACTCGAGCGAAAAAATGATTGACCTGTTCAGTTTAATATAGCTAGTAAATAACTGAGGCAGGATTTGTACTTGGCTTTTCCTGACTCCAAATCCTGTGTTACATCCACTGTGCCATGTTGGCTTTCATTCCACTACTTCTGGATAAGTTTTCCCCATTAGTGAGAAACACCAGTATTGTTTCTTCATTGCTTTTCATCCTGTGTATCTGGGGGTAAATCAGTAACAATCCTACACCTCTAATGCAATTATAATAATTATGAACTGTAGTTGTGCTTAGAGTATTAATTCACTTAATAGACCACAAGCTCCTTCTAGCAAATGACAATCTTACCCACTATTACCTTTTTCAGTAGGTAACACAGTGTTCTGCAAAGCAGTAGGAGCTTAATAAATATTTGCTGTATTAAATAACTGGAAAAAGGAGGGAGGATGAGCAGAATCAAAAGGAAATATTATCTCTTCTCCAATTCAGTTGCTTCCCCTGCAAAAAGGGAAGAGAGTTGAATGGGACTGAGTATGAGGCTTGGTAAAGCAAGAGGAGGAGCCCCAGGACGACAGATTTGCAAACGGAAGAGTCTGCGGAGGCCTTGTTTTTAAGATGAGGAAAGTGAGGCCGAGGTTGCCCAAGGTCATGTAAGAACTACGTAGCAGAGCATTATAGCCAGGTCCTTTGACTCACAACCCAGCACTCTTCCCCTGAATCACACTTGAATAGATATGGGGAATATTTTTAGTGATTTCCACTTCTCAAAAAAGGAAAAATGACAAGCACTTTGGCCTGAAGTCCCATACCAAACCTCCCAAACTATCCCTCTGCCGAAAGGAAATAAAGTTCCACTGTCTGCAGCAATAAACTTGACATGTTTATTAATTAAACTATCACTTAAATAAAAAAAAGTGCATAGAAAATAAACATGTTTAAAAACTCCTTTTTTTTTTACAACTATGTACACTTTTTACTTTTACATTCAGTCTTTCGTAGAGAGCTTTCAGCATTATTATTTTTTTAACTATTAAAGTATTTTCCTTCATCCCTGTCACAGGGAGTTAACACTGATGGACTTTAGACACATTCCTTTTTATTTTTTCTTTCCCCCCCTAAACCAGAAGCTTGGAAGAACACAAGGAAAAAAATAAAAACAAAAAGATCTGTTATACATGATAAAGTTAAGAAATGTCTTATTTCTGGAACAGAATTTTGTCATCTGTTTAGTTTTTGAAACAATTATTCAACTACCTGTATTTACTAAAGAGACTGTTGAAAGTTCAATAAAAGAAACACCACAAGTATATTTTCTTGGTTGATAGACAAAACTAGAGTACCTCAGAACAAGATACCAGGAAAGCACAGAACACAATTTTTCCCCCCTAAATGCAGGTGGTAATCCCAACATTCAAAACCAAAAATAGAGAAACAAGAAGTACAGGTACTGACTGGTAACATTCATGGGCAGAAAAATCCTCAGCAGAGAAGCTCCAGGTGACATGGTTTGTGCAATTCTTTCCAACCCCTGGTGTGGGCTGGTTGATGCATCCCTATTAGATGATACTTTTGCAATTTGGTTGTTTTTTTTCTTTTTTGCCTTTGGGGACCCAGAGGAACACCAGACTGACATTTTCCTGCCTCTGCTAGCAACTGTAACACAATCCTTATCTATAGTGTTAAGAGAGTTAAAAGCCATGGACTGATACTGAACTAGGCTTTGTTACATGGTGCATTACTATATTAGTTCCTATATATATATTTATATTTATTTGAAAATTCAAAAAAAACTTGCAAGTTTTCAGAGTGTGTGAAACCAGTAAGAAGTCTGGACTTGACTGGCATTCAAGATTCGGCACAAAACCATCTGCTCAATAACCTTGTATTGCTTTGAAATGAAGAAAATGAAACAAAGTTTACACTCAGCCCTTTACAATGACCCGCTTTTTCCTTTGAGAAAAAAAATTGTTACAAATATCCCCTTCCCTCCCTCCCTCCCCCAAATAAATTCAACAAACACCCAACAAGGTTTTGACCTTTAGTATTTTCAGATATTTGTGATTGAACAGAAGTCCTTTAAAAAGATACATTCATTTTTTAAAATCTATTTTTTTTTTCAATCAAGGGAGCTGCATGGTGCTTACTGAATTGGCCAGGGTAGGACAGAGGTAAGCAGGGTGGTGGACTAGATCCTGCACATGTCAATGAGTCTGGTTGAAAAATTAATAGTAGCTGCCAAGGCTTCTCTCCTCCAAACTCGTTAATGATCTGAAAGCTGGAGGGGCTGTGCTGGAGATCGTGGTGGTGGTGGACGGTTATGGAGGAGAGGCAAAAGGACCAAGAAGACCTGGCCAAAGTGTCAGTGCCATGCAGCCGCTCTGATACTGGAATAGTTTTCACTGGCTGCAATGGCCACCAGTTAATGCAGCCACAAGAAGGTTCTAGCAGCAAAGCTATTTAAGTGAACTGGCTCTCTCATGGAGAACTAACCAGAGACACAATTATTACTCCTCAGGGGCTTGGGAATTTCTGAAGGAAGCTTCTTGAAAGATTCTTAGGAATGACCCAATGCTGTTTGCTCAGTCTGAATTTCTGTGCTAAAATCCTCTGGATACTTTTCAAGATGAACTCAGAGGCATTTTGTGTTTATTTATTACTTAACCCCCTTCTTTTCCTACTTCTGTTAGTGACCCTCTTTCTCATTCCCATGCTGCTGAATTTTTGGCAATGGGCTCAAGAATGAGCTGTAGTCACTCACAGAGGGGCTTTCTCAGCTTCTGGGTTACCAGGGTGGGATTAGGATATAACTTTCTTCCTAATACCCAGAGTATGGTGGGAAAGGAATGAGAAGGGGGTCTCTCATAGTATAGCACTGCCTAATAGGGCAGCAATTAGGTCTATTCAGCTGAGTTCTCCCCATCCCTGACTGGCCTTTGGGTCTTCTTAGAGTGAATTCCTGACCCATCAGTGCATCAATCATTTCAGTAATAAATGCAGCCTAAGGTTTTTTTGTTTTGTTTTGAAACAAGAAGGAAAAAAGTAAGATTTACAAAAAAACCTCACACAGTGCAATAAGAAAGAAAATTAGATACTAGTGGAACCCCTTGAGTCACCGTATCTTGTCATGGACTGAAGAAAGAGGGAAGGTGAGATCTGAGTGGACTGATCTTCTCAGCCCACTGCTGGCCCCTCTCCATGCAGACAAGGTAGCCTTTGCCATCCTGTCCACAGTGCTGGCGAGAGCGATGGTGTTTCAGCAGAGCCACCAGGAGAAGTTCTTAAGGTCACAGGAGATAAGGGAGCCCAGATTGGAGGGCGCAGGCTGAACCATGGGTCCTGGGGCAGAGTACGCTGGGCTGAGTGATATTGCTTTGTTAAGTTTCCAAAGGGTGGACTTCTTGTGGCCAGGAAGAGTGTCCCACTGAGAGCCATTATTGATCCCCTGCCGGACTGAACTGTTTTGAAGCCCAGTAACCAAGACAGAGAGAAAACCTGTTTCTCTGTGAATGATCTGACTGTGCTTTAGTTCCATTGGGCCACCCTGGAAGTGTCTAGGGGGTCAGTAAGATTTTTTTGCAGATATGAGGACTTGGTGGGGAGAATGGAAGCAGAGATAAACGGAGGCTACAAATGAGGCAGATGGAGATGGAAAAATGTCAAGTTGCCTGCCATCTAAGCTCTTGTTTTCTAACTCTGAAGTAGAAGAGACTGGGGAAGTACGAAAGTCTGCCTCTTGCCCTGAGGCTGGAACCAGAGAAAAAGAGATGCATTTTGGGAAGGGGGTGAAAGAAGAATTGTACCAAGATAGTAATGTAGCCTGCTGGGAACTTTGTAGAGGAAGGAGAGAAGTGAGAAGCCCAATGTATTTAGGTGACCACCTTCCTTCTCTATAATCTAGGAGCAACCCAGGAAACAGTTACCTAAGTCAACAAGGCATGAACAAGCTTACATGATAAACAAAAAAAGTATACCTTCTGAGGGCAGGGGTTGGGGGGGTGGGAGAAACTGGACAGGAAAAAAAAATCAGACTTTGCGTGTACAGCTGAATATTTTCTCTAACTTCATCCTATGAAAATAAAAAATTATTAAAAACAGATCTTCTTTTAAATTAGGATAATACCACGGTTTAAAAAATAGCCTTGTCATAAGTGCTTCTCCCTATGAAGTGCTTCTCATAGAAAAATATACAAAAAATATTTACATTTATAAAACCTTAAATATTAAACTGTAAACAGAACAGAGTAAAATCCAATGACTTAATTTAACAGATTCAGGACACTGTCTTGGGGAAGGGGAAAGGAAAGAAGGAAAGAAGGAGAGAGAAGTCAGTCTGATGCTGCTTTGACCATGTTCTAGAGGAGGAACCTCGGCAGTAGTGTGATTTTCATCTGCTCTGACAAGAGATTTTGCACAGATGGTAGAGCTCCCTCAATGCATGGTAACCTACTCCCTCAGGGTCTTGCAACCTTAGTGTTCTGCCTTTAGCTTTCAATGGAGATTGGCCATTTAGGAATTTGGCCTTCCTATGTCTTATCAAAGAATAAATCAAAGTAACTGTATCCTAGCAATGGGGGCGTGGAAGGGGGAAGGATATCATCAACTTGGATATGAAATTCTTAGTGAGCTGCATGATTCAAATCCTATTTAAGTATTTTTCCCTCTTAAAACAACCCATGCTACATTTTTCTTTTCTTTTCTTAAATTTTCACTGGAGCTTGGGCTGGTAAAGATTCCTCCCAAACTTATCTATTTTTAGTGGCTTGTGTCCACATCTCCTCAGCAGTGCTTACTAGCTCAAAGGATTTTTTTTGTAGACACAAATCGTGCCCAGTGGGGTGTGTGTCCTTGAATAGAGAGCCAACTTCACCCACCACCCAGAAAAAATAATGGAGAAGTGTTGGGATGGAAGCCAAGAGAAAAGTGGAATGAAGAGAGGAATGGGAGAGGGAAGGAAGCTGCTCCTACTGTCAAGAAAAGTGACTGGTTGAAATAAGGCTTATGGGGGTAACACTCCCACTACAAAGCCTATAGGCAGGCTCAAGTGTTTGGTAATTCATTGGCACAACCCCAACACAGCCCTTTTGGTCAACAAAGGTGCTAGGAACCCTGCCTCCTGACCAGAAATGAATTCTTATGTGGGAGGGCGCTAAGGAAAAATCATTAAACATTTCTTTCAATCAAGAGATAGATGTAGGCTGGGCCTGGCCAGCCAACTCTGAGGTGTCTGACCTGTACTGTTTTCTCAACCCTGCTTGGCCACTCTGGCCACCTCACTAACAGTGCTTAGGAAATGAACCAAGCAGAGGCTGGCAGCAAGATACCAACTTCCCCTAGGGAGATGCTCAGGAAAATCCCATTTCTCCTGATAAAATCCTTCACAGGCTCTCTCCAGGTAAATCTGTTAGGAGCCCCTTTCCCCTCCTCATATTGGTGTGCGAATTCCAGAGGTGCCAGAAAGAAAGTCCATCACCAATCTTCTCTTCGTGACCTCACCTCTCACCAGGATTATGATCACACTGCATGATGTGAAGATGGGACACAAGGGAAGGGAGCTCAGCCATAATGGAGATCCCTCAACTGAGCCCACCTAATCCTGAAACCCTCGGCTGCTGTAAAAAGCCTTCAGCATTGCTCTGGGTGGCCCTGGGTCTTGCAACTCCCACAATGAAGAATGGGAAAAAGAGCAACTTTAGTTTAGGAACTTTCGGCATTTCTTAGCGCCACAATTGCAGGGCAGCTTATTGCTGGCATCCTCAATGGGGAACTTATAGTCATAAGTGAGTTCCTCTCCACGGTAGATCTTACGCATTGCAAAGATGACAATATGCTTCTGCCCATCAATGTTGATGACTCGAGAGTAGCAGTTGGGTTCGCATGAATGGTTGATAAATCGTGCAGCATTCCCATGCATGGTGGCATCCACTACCTCTGAGTCATCAATGCGGAACATGTAGCAGCCAATGCCCTATATGCCCAGGAGAGGGAGAGAGAGAATAAAGTGTTGGTTGCAACTCAAGTTTGGGACTTTTACCTTCCCCTCTTTTTATACTATATATGGCCCCAGCTAAAGCTGATTAAATCTGAATGCTGGTCAAAACCCCAGTTATGCTGATGTGCCTCTCCTGGTGAGCATACCTCAAGATGTTTCATGTAAATTTCACTACAGTGGTTTCTCCATTCAACTAGGAAGGCAGGCAAAGCCCTGAAAAATGTAGTTGTGTGCCCTTGGTAAACATCTCTAGGTTTCTACTAGGGCCCCCTCAACTTCAACTTTAGGGACACTGCATTTTTACCAGCCCCCTTAATTTCAACTCTGATTTCTAATCTGTGCTTATGCTGGCTGCTTGTGCTGAAATGTAGCTAATAGTAAGCCTTTTAAAAGAACATAACAGCATTTTCTTTTTCTTTATGTTATTCCACACTCATCTTTTCTCTTGCCTACAACAGGCGAAATGGGCAGCGACAGTGACAGAGTCTATCTCACCTTGCTCTCATAATACTTCTCTCTCTTGTCAGTCTGTATGGAACGGATGACGTTGCCTGCATACTCAATCACCATCTCACCTGCATCAATGTTTCTCTTACAGAACAGGCCCCGGCCATGGATGGGAGACCTAGGACATGAACAGAAACAAAAAGAGTCCCTTTAGCTGACATTCAATTAGCTGAAATTTGCCAATAATTCCACCACAATCTGCCAATGTTTCTCCCTCGGAGGAAGCAAAATTCAGATCTATATGCCTTACAGAAGTTGTTCTCTGTTCCTGATGAACAGATATGATGTGAAGTGGAAGTCTGAACAGTCAGTAAATTTGTTAAGCGAGGATCCTTTAGTCAGCTACCAAAAATAGCTGTAATTTGTACCCACTGCCATCTATAAAAGAACCCTACTTTACCTATTTGTTCCACTCTGATTTTAGAAAAGATTTCAGGGTTTCAACCATACCTGTAGACCCCAACTGCTTCCTTGGAAGTCTTCTTTAAGTGCCGGAAACGCATGGGCATGGGTAAATCCATGCTAGTCGCCCTTCTGAAAGACAGCAGGATATACTTTTAACCACACTTCTTCATGGAAGAGACTACTCTGGCAAAGTCTTGGACTAAAGCTCCTGGAAGACACAGATAATGACTATGTGGTTCTCTTTGCACAGTGTCTCGCATAGGAACATGTACAATTAAACACATAAATGCTTTCTGGCGATGGAAATGAAGGTGGTAACAGTGACTATTAGGGGGGTTTGGAAGAATCAAACAGAATCGACATCCTCACTGTACAGTACATCTATACAAGAGGATAGAAACTAATAATCAAACAAAAACACCAATTTAAAGTGATATGAATTTCAGATCAGCTTCACAGAATCAAATTTTCTGCTAATTAGCCACTGTTACCATGTCACTCATGTCTCAGTCACTCTCTCTCTTTTTTTTCTGTGCAACTCTGGAATTCTAATTAAAGCAGGTTATGAATTTTCTTCTATTGCTGTAGCAACAAGAGACAAATTTAGCATCTTTCTCTCATCCTACCTCCTCCCTTTGCCTTAACTTAATTAGTTTTCTATTTAATTGCTTACCTAGCTGACTTCAGCTGTACTTCCTCTTCTTCCTCATCATTTGGGTTATATTCAGGAGGTTGTCGATGTTTAGAAGCCAAGAAGTTAAACATGTCAAATGCTGATTTCCTGGAATCAAAGATCAAAGAATATTTAGAGGAATGCCTGAGGCAGGCATGCTGGAAATGAAAGTGATAGTTGAGAAAATCCCAAGAAAAAGATGACATCAGCGGCATTTATTTACAAACTAAGATCTGAAACTACTTTCCAAGCCATGGGTGAATGGCACTTGCCTCAGGTGGACTTCAGCTCTGGCTGACCCATGAGGATTCAAGGGGGGTTCATTGGCCTCCTCTGGTTTGTGGAATCGAAACTTATAATTCCGACAATGCTTGGCCCCAGAAAGCTGCTCAATTAGGAACACAACTGCATCATGAAGAATCCCTAGCATCTTCAAGCCATTCACACCTGCAAAGATCATAAGCATTACGGTTGGTAACAGGAAACTGTAATATTCAAAAGATAGCCAAACTACAGAAAAATCTTCCAAAGCCACTATAGAACCTGGACTATAAACAAAAGCTAGAAGCTGGCATTATATGTTTGATTAATAATCCTCCCTGACAAATTCAGAAGGACGTGATCTGTTTCAGTGCCACAGAGAAGGCTGGCCAGATTTTCAGCTCACTAACATCTTCATGAACAAAACTTGGGAAGTCCAAATGGAACACTAAGCCTAACTTTATAGAAAAGCAAACTACGTGGATATCAAAGCATACTCTAGCATAGAAAGGACTTCACATTTTTTCACAAAGGCTTACCCTTCCCTTTCACTTCTAAGGATTTTTCCTCATATCTCCTGAGTTACTAGAATAGACTAGACTTTCAAAGTATACTTACCTTGACACGCTTCCACATACAATCAATTATATATTGGTTCAAATCAACAATCTACTGGAATGTCTGAGAGAGGAACAAGCCAATAACTTTACCTGCAAATGAAAGCTGTTTTAGACGAGCATTGGATCGGGCTTCCTGAACTTTATCTGTCAATGATTTCCATGCATCTGTAATGATATTAAGGAACAGGTAAAAAAACTTTTTTTTTTTTGCTCTGCTTTTCTGGTGAGGCAATCAGGACTAAGTGACTTGCCCAGGGTCATACAGATAGTAAGAGTCAAGTGTCTGAAGCAGGATTTGAACTCAGGTCCTCTTGACTCCAAGGCTGGAGCTCTACCCACTGCGCCACCTAGCTGCCCTTGTAACAAAACTTTTAAGTACATTTCTTGTCATTTTAGTAGCCTGTACAGTCTTATATGTTTAGGAGCTAAGACAACTTGGGGTTGCTTTCCTTTCACCTTTAAGCCAATTTGGTATATAACCAGAAAGTGCAATGCCTACCAGAGCTTCTATAAGGGAAGACAGGGCAATAACAGCAGGAATGGAGGAAATGCCAATTCTACAGATTTCCCAAAGAATCTGTATCTCTAAGTTGTATGATTTCGGTCTTTAACTTTAGTGCCTGATAGTATTCACTTTATTCCTGTCCCTGCCCAAAGCATTCTTCAGCAAGTATATAACTTCTTCCCATCCTATAAACTAAGTACATTCTCCAAAGATTCAGTCCCTGGTCCTCTCTTCTCCACACAGACCTTCTACCCTGGGAAAGTTCATCTAATGTTAAAATTTTCACCTCTGTGGAGGTAACTCCCAAATCTATACCTGATCTCTCTCTCAAACTCTAGTCCTATTTTGTTAAGTAATGTTCCTTTCTATAGATCATTTAAACTCTGATTTTGATCCTCAACTTCTGGACACTGTTCCTTGAATATCTTATCCTCTCAAGTTCAACATTTGTAAAATGGGGATGGGGAAGGTTGCACCAGATGGCTTCTGAGGTCCCTATAAATTCCTGATCTATGCTATGTCCTATATTTAAAACTGAATGCATAATTTACCCACCAATAAAACTAGTTACTTCTTTCATTTTTTCTATTTGTACTAACAGTTCTCCCAGTACTATCCATCTTGCAAGCTTCTACTAGATTTTAGTAAAATATTGTTCTCTCTGTGGCATTTCCCCTATTCAAAAACATTTGATGGCTCCCACATAAAATAAACTACAAACTCCTTAATGTGGCATTCAAGGCCTGCTCTTTTCAATCTTATTACTTTCAAGAACAGCCTTCTCCTCCAGCCAGAATTATGGTGCAGTCCTTGTCTCCAGTATTTATCTTGCAGTCTTGCCTTGGGGCCTGTGCTCTTCTGAAAAGGAAGTTCTTCCCAAATTCCTCTGGAAGCCTATCTAAATCCTATGTAACTCTCAAAATCCAATTTGAGCATGTTCCCTGATTACTCAAACTCAAGATTTCTCCCTTCTCTTAACTTCTTCAGTACTTACTGTTTAAACCACTTACTTGAAATAAAGTCTTACATGGTTATTGTTTCCCTAACTAGGCTGTGAACTGGATGAAGACGTGGTATGGCCTGTGTCTTATGTTGCATTAAAAAAAAAGTCTCAACTGAGTAGCCACTCTTACACTGTTTTGAACCCTTACAGTATCCGTCATAGTGCCCAATACAGTTAGTACTCCATAAATATTAGTTGATTCACTGATCTCCAAAATCCCTATCAGGCTGAAATAGATTATGATGGTAGGATCTTCTGAACATTATGGCGCAGCCAAACACTTCAGGCCACATACCTTCAATACTTTCTGCACAAATTTGAAAACCATCATCACTTGATATTTCAAAAACAAGCCCTTTCTTTGGCTTTTTCTCTCCAATGCTTTCTTTCCGCTTCTGTTCTTGCTGCAACCAAAACATCAGTGGAGAACTGAAGTTGCTTTCCTCTTCTTCAGTCACTTTGGGTTCTGAGACAGAAAAAATAAAATCGGAGACAGACTTCTGTAATTATTTCCGCTGACAGTTTTTCCTTTTCTTGAATAGATTCTATAGGGATAATTGTATTACATCAGGTTCAAAGAATGAGTGGGTAGTCAGGTTATTCCCTACGAGGAATTAGAAAACTCTGACAATGTCCCAAGTCATAATGTCTGGGGATCTTCTCTGATTGGTTGCCTTATAACAAAAAGTCTTTCTTCTGTTAACACATCATCTATAGCAATTTCCAACCTTTAACTAAGGAGTCACAGAATTTCAGGAAATGTCCTCTGAAGCCTTCTTAGAAAGCCCATTTTCCTACGGAATAGCTCAAATTGTTAAGAAGTTTTTCCTGACACGAGGCCTAAACTTGTCTCTTTTCAACTCTAACACACTGCATCTAATTCTGCATTCTAGGATCAAACAGAAGTAATCTATCCCTTCTTCTACATAACACTCTTCAAATACTTTAAAGGCAGCTATGACATCCTTTCTGAGTCCTCTCTTCTACAGGCTAACCATCCCTAGTTTCTTTAACTAATCTTAATATGACATGGACATGAAGTTCTTCACCATTCTGCTTGCCCTCCTTTGGACACTTCCTAACTTATTTATGCCCTACCTAAACAATATTCCAGATGTGATCTGACCTGTGCATCTTTACTCTGGAAAAGTATTCTCTTACTGTAGACCAATACTGACTTAGTTTCCTAGGCTTCATATCACCCTATCTCAAATTGAGCTTGTACTCCATTAAAGCTTCCAGTTCTTTTTTCAGATACCTCTCCAGGCATTTCGTATCGTAATTCTGTCCTTCAGTGTAGGAACTGTTCTAATGTACCTTTATGTTAGTTGTAAATCTGATAAGCATTTCATCTATGTCTGTACTGAAGTTAGAGATAAAAATGTTAAACAGCACAGGGCCAAGCAGTGAACCCTGGGATACTAAGGTGGAGACCTCCTTACAAGTTAATGATGAATCACCAATGACTAATCTTCTGAGAGTCCAGCCTTTCAACTTATTAGTTGTATGACTATGGCTCATGTCACTTAATACCTAAGCCTGTTTCCTCATTTGTAAAATGAGAATAACATTACACCTCAGAGTTGTGATAATGAAATATGTAAAGCACTTTGCAAACTTGCAAGTGCTGTATGAATGTCAGTTATTTTAAAATACTACTTTACTGTTTTTTAAAAGTCTTTATTAATTAGCTTCTCCTACCAGTTACCCCCTTGATAAATTTGCCTGTCTCTCCCTCTCCCCACGTACATTTCATCATTTTACATGATTCCATAAAGTAACCCAAATGAGATTTTAATGAGTATTAAATAAGTCAATAAATTAACTGGGAAAGTATGTTTTTTATAATGAATTATCCTATATATGCACATGGAATGTGACTTCCTGATTTACTTTACCCACATATAGTGAGAATGAGTAAGAAAATGGTAGGTGTACATATCAGGTTTTAGAACTAAAAGCAGGTTCTCTTACATCTCTTGCATAATAATAACACTAATGAAGATTAGCTTCCTTTAGTCAAGCCACTTCACTAACTATGTAAATCTTACATTGCTATTAAGGCAGCAGAAAAATATGTCCAGGTATTTATTTTTGAGACTCTTTTAAATAATAGATAAGCCACCAGAAATATCCTGTTTAGTTGACAACCACATACTTACCTGCACTTTCTTGCTCATTTGTTGAATTCTGTGTTGGCAATTCTTCCTGAATTGCAGTCACTTGCCTAGACAAAGAGAAAACCAAATGTTAATATCATTTTTATTACAACTCAAAAATAACAGTATATGATAAAGCTTTGCCAGTTACACAAATCAATGCCCACGGTGGGGGGGGGGAAGGCCAGGGTGGGAAGACTTGATGTAACTTTAAACAGAATGTACTGAATAAGAATACTACATATTTTTATATACTTTACACTTTTCCAAATCATTTCACATGCACATTACCTTGTTCAAAGACAGCCAAATATTAGAAAAGTACAAAATATACAACAGTCTTTTCTGAAAGACTTGCTCTAAAATATTGTCCTTTTAGAAAACTATATTCCCCAACTTTTTTTATTTGACTATTTCAGGACAACTAAAAATTCCAAATCCTCATTTAAAAAGTTAAAAATTAAAAAATTTTTTCTTTACGGTCACAGTATTTAGAGGGAAAAATTGAAGGGAGGCTTATTAACACTTTAACTTCCAAACTAGTTCCAATTTAATAATCTGAGTTATAATTGAGTTATAATAATTTTCATATGAATCTTGCTCACTCTGACTTTTAAAATTAACAACAATACAACTGGAGCAGGAGTAGAACCAAGATGGTGGAGTAAAGGCAGGGACTCACCTAAGCTCTCCCAAATTCCCCTCCAAGGGTTAAAATAACACCTTAAAATAAATTCTGAAGTGGCAGAACCAACAAAAGGAAGGGGTGAAACAATTTTCCAATCCAAGACAATTTAGAAGGTCTATAGGAAAGGTCTGTCTCAGTCCAGTGCAGGCCATGCCCTGATAAGCCAACAGCAGGCCTTGTGGGTGATAGCTTCTGGAGCTCTCAGCCCACAGACAGTAAGTGGGGGTTGGACAACTGGTCAGAAGCAGATTACAGGGGACTCTCTACTAGCCCTGGGGGTAGGACACTGTTGCATTGCCCAGACGTGGTTCTGGGTCACAGTCCCAGGGTGAGGAAGAGCACTAGCAGGAACTACAGTCACAGTTCCAAGGTAGAAAAGAATGCTTGTGGTAGTTTGTAAACCAGAACGCAGGCCAGGAGGAGCAACGACCACACCTCTCCTCAGAGAACAGCACCGTGGAAGAACTGACATCTTACAGACCCCTAGAATTGGCTCTGAAAACAGCAGCACAAAAAACCTGAAGCTTAGGATAGTGCCTCCTCTACCTCAGGAGCAGAGCTCAACTTTAAAGCAAAGTTAGAAGTCAAGAAACAGGCTAGAAAAATGAGCAAACAACAAGAACCTGAGCATAGCAAGTTACTATGGTGACAGGGAAGATCAAAACACAAATTGATAAGACAACAATGTCAAAAAAGCCACACACAAAGCATCAAAGAAAAATGTGAATTGGTCACAGCCTTCCCCTCTCCCAAATTCCTGGAAGAATTCAAAAAGGATTTTAAAAATCAAATAAGAGAGACAGAGGAAAAACTGGGAAAAGAAATGACAGTGGCGCAAGAAAATCATGAAAAAAGAATCAACAGCTTGGTAAAGGAAGTACAAAAAAATAACACCTTAGAAAACAAAAATAGGCCAAATGGTAAAAGAGGAACAAAAATCTACTGGTGAGAACTCTTTAAAAAGCACAATTAGCCACAAGGAAGAAGAGGGATAAAAAGTTACTGAAGAAAAGAATTCCTTAAAAAGTATAATTGGCCAAATGGAAAAAAGAAGTACAAAAGCTTGCTGAAGAAAATAATTACTTAAAAATTATACCTGAGCAAATGGAAGCTAATGACTCCACGAGACATTAAAAAACAGTAAAACAAAATTACAAAAAGGAAAAAAAGTAGAAGAAAATGTGAAATATCTCACTGGAAAAACAACTGACCTGGAAAATAGATCTAGGAGAGATAATTTAAGAATTACTAGACTACCTGAAAGTCATGATCATAAAGAAGAGCCTAAACACTATCTTTCAAGAAATTATCAAGGAAAATTGCCCCAATATCCTAGAACCAGAGGGTAAAATAAAAACTGAAAGATTCCACCTCCTGAAAGAGATCTCAAAATGAAAATGCCTAGGAATATGACTGCCAAATTCCAAAGCTCCCAGGTCAAGGAGAAAATATTCTAAGCAGCCAGAAAGAAACAACTGAAATGTTGTGGAGCCACAGTCAGGATAAAACAGATTCAGCAGCTTCTATATCAGAGGATCAGAGGGCTTGGAATGGGATATTCTCGAGGGCAAAGGAGCTAGGATTACAACTAAGAATCACCTACCTAGCAAAACAGGTATACCCTTTCAAAGGAAAAAATGGACATTTAACAAAATAGAGGACTTTCAAGCACTCCTGATAAAAAAACCAGAGCTGAATAGAAAAATCTGACATTCAATCTGACATTCATGTGGGAAGACTCTGGAGAAGCATAAAAAGGTAAACACGAAAGAGTAATCATAAGGGACTCAATAAAGTTAAATTGTTTGCATTCCTATATGGGAAGATAATACATGTAACTCCTAAGAACTTTTTCGCTATTGGGGCAGTTAAAAGGAGTTTACATAGACAGAATACATGGGTGTGAGGTGATTATATTGAAATGATCTCCAAAAAAAATGAAGGGGGGAGAAAGAAGGATGCACTGGGAGAAAGGGGAAGGGGAATGGGGAAAATTTTCTCATGCAGAAGAGGGATGCAAGGAGGAGCTTTCACAAAGGAGGGGAAAATGGTGGAGGGTGGTAGGCAATGCTTGAACCTCACTAGCATTGGAACTGGTTCAAAGAAGAAATGCACCCACGCACGCGCACGCACACACACACAGTTGTGTATAGAAATGTAACCTACCCAATAGGGATATAGAAGGGGAAGGAGATAAGAAAAGACAGCAGGGAGAATAAGGGGAGGGTGGCATAAGGGAAGCAGTGGTTAGAAGCAGAATAGATTTCTGAGGACAGACAGAATAAAAAGAGAGGAAGAAAAAGACGATGGGATGAAGGGAAATTGTTGTTCAGTTGTTTCAGTCATGTCTGACTCTTCGTGACCCCATTGGGGGTTTTCTTGGCAAAGCTACTGAAGCAGTTTGCTATTTCCTTCTCCAGCTCATTTTACAGATGAGGAAACTGAGGTAAACAGGGTTTAGCTGACTTGCCCCAGGGTCATATAGCTAGGAAATGTCTGAGGTCAGCTTTGAACTCAGGAAGATGAGTTTTCCTGAATCCAGGCCTGGAACTCTGTCCACTGAGCCACCTAGCTGTCCCTGTAAGGATGTACACAGTTAATAATTTTAACTGTGAATGTGAATGCGATGAGCTCACCCATAAAGCAGAAGCAGATAGCAGAATGGATGAGAAACCAAAATCCAACAGTATGATGGTTTACAAGAGACACACTTGAAACAGAAAGATACAGAGTTGAAATAAAAGGCTAGAGCAGAATCTGATATGCTTTAACTGAAATAAAAAGAGCAGGGGTAGCAATCATATCAGACAAAGCAAATGCAAAAATAGACCCAGTTGAAAGAGATAATCAGGGAAACTGCATTTTGCTAAAAGGTACCATGGACAATGAACTAATATAAAAAATGTTGACAACAAGTTTCTCTGATAAAGATCTCATTTCTCAAATATATACTGAGTACAGAACTGAGTCAAATTTATAAACATAAGAGCCATTCCCCAACTGATAAGTGTTCACAAAGGATAGGAACATGCAGTTTTCAGAAGAAAGCAAAGCTATTTAAAGTTATAAGAAAAAAAGCTCTAAATCACTATTGATCAGAGAAATGCAAATTAAAACAATTCTGAGGTATCTATTACCTTCACACCTATCAGAAAGGATAAATGTTTAGATTGGATGAGGGAAAAATCAGTACATTAATGAACTGTTGGTGGAATTGTGAACTGGTCCAACCATTCTGGAAAACAATTTGGAACTATGCCCAAGGAGCTATAAAACTGTGCATACCCTTGGATCTAGCAATACCATTACCAGGTATGTATCCCAAAGAGATCAAAGAAAAAGGAAAAGGACCTATATATACAAAAATATTTATAGCAGCTCTTTTTGTGGTGGTAAATAACTGGAAATTGAAGAGATGCTCATCAATTGGGGAATGGCTGAACAAGATTGTGATAGAGTACTATTGTGCTAAAAGAAATGAGGAAGGGGATGGTTTCAGAAAAACATGGCAAGACCTATGTGAACTGATGCAAAGTGAAGTGAGAAGAACCTGGAGATCATTGTGTACAGTAATAGCTATGTTATAATGACAATCAACTGTTAAAGACTTGGCTATTCTGATCAATACAATGATCAAGGAACTCACGATGAAAAACGCTATTCATCTCCAAAGAGGGAACTGATGGTCTCTGAGTGCTAATTGGACTATAATTTTCTCACTTTATTTTTCTTGCTTTTTTTTTTGAAATATGGCTAATATGGAAATATGTTCTGTATGATTTCATGTGTATAATTGATATTATATGGCTTGCCTTCTTGGGGGTGGGGGAGGCAGAGAGAATCTAGAACACAAAATTTAAAAAGAAAAGAAAGTTAAAAATAAATTTAAAAAACCAAACCAAAGCAAAACAGGGTAAATTTTTAAAATGATATAAGCAGAAGACTATCTAATCCTACACTAAAGTCTTCTTTTCAGCTTACCTTGTAGACTGTCCACAATCTTTTTGTGATGATTGATCCATGTTAGCTGTATCCTGAACATCTAACTTTGATCCTGGAGTCCTGGAAAAGAAGTGTTTAGGACTGTTCAAAGAACCTACTGAGAAATATTTAGGTTAAACTAAAAGGCCTAATCATATGGAATAAACACATCAGGATGAGCCAGCTGGTGACTCTGCCCTCAAAATGACTCTCCAAATAGAAATAAGTGTTCCCTGGTAGCCTCAGACAAAGAAGAAATAAAGCTTCATGAAGTGCTTCAAACCCCAACAAATGACTGAACAGAGATAATGCTTCTTCTCAAGAGCCTTAACACCCACTGATGGGACTAAATTTGCTCTTGTAACTGTCACTGTGATACATTCAAAAGATGTCAAAAACAAAACAAAAACCCCCCAGTAATTTATGAGGGGAAAGAACAACAGGAAAAGAGGCAACAGTGGGAAAAGTTTTAAATCCGCCCCAGTTCAGAACCTAGCTTATCATGACACAATGTAACAACAATGGCTTTTCTTACCCTGTCACTGAGGTCAGGGATGTGGGGTTGGCTTCTGGATCTGGAATGTGTGCTTCAGAGGAACTGGTCCGCATGTGGGAAACCTTGTGCTTCTTACCATTCCCCTTGTCCAAAGGCAGCTGAATCCGTTTGACTTTTGGCCTGGACTTAGTGGGGCCTAGCACTGAACTGCTTGCTGACTGTTGGCCAGAAGATGGGGAACCCCCAGGAGAGGCTGAGCTAGCATGCATAACTGAGGATGAAGCCTTGCTTTGCTCTATTCCTGTGCTGTTGGGCACATCAACCAGCTGTGGAAAGCTTGACAACTGGCTCCCTGAAGTTGAAGCAACATCCAACTGAGAGGGGAGAATCCCAGTTTTGCTGGCAAGGAGGTGGGTCATGTGCTGAAGCTGATAGGATCCTTCTGGTTCATTAGATGAAGGGGCAACCGTCATGCCCACAGTCTGGGTGGAGGGAAGCACACAAATACTGGATGCTGCTGTCATTGCAGCACTGGAGGGGGTCTGTGATGTTCCCAGCTGGGGAAACATTCCTGATCCTGGTGGCAAAGTCATGGGCTGTTCCTGAAGCCCCAGGCTCTGTTGGCTGGCTTTAATTAAGAGGTTGCTTATTGAGCCAATGTCTGGGGCACCAAGTAACCTTGGGCTGGTTAATGTGACTGAGCCCTGCCCCAAAACATGTCCTGGAACTGATCCACCAGTGGTAGGGGCTGTTGCAGCTTGCATGGAAACATTAAGAACAGAGGAACCTGATGCCAAACCAGAAACAGGTCCTGCTGCAAGGTGGCTGGTATCTGGGCCTATTGTTGATGTCCCAACTGTTGAAGTAGCAGCTCCTCCCACACTCTGTGGTAACAAGGGTGCCTGTTCAAAGTACATAATACCAGACTTAGACCTTTTGATGATGTTGGGGACTGTTCGGTGGGAGGCAGTATTTCCAAGTGATCCTAAATCTAATAGACTTGGATGGTTTGAAAGCTGGGAGGGTGTAAAATTAATCAGAGTCATGTTAGAGACCATATCAGAAGGGGCAATAGATGATGAAGTGCTTGAAGGAGCAAGTTTTTTATTCTTTCGAGAGTGTAGACGAGATATGGGCCTTTTCTTTAACCCAGGAGGTGGAGTGGTTGCAGTGGTATTGATGTCTGTCCTCTGATTAGTTTCTGAAACCAAAAGTTGGGGATCTGGAGGAGGCTGGACACCAATTAACAAGCTTGAAGTAGGATTATTCATGTTGGGTGGGAAACTACTTTGAGTAGCTGCAGGAAAAGAATGTAAGTGCTGGTGATGAGTCATAGGGAGCAATCCTTTGCTAGAAGGGGGGAACAAAGACTGAGATGATGGCAAACTTGGATTCAGTCCTGTGGCTAAAGTGAGACCACTGCCCATGGGCCCAAGCACTGATGTGTTGGTTTCCATCACACTGGGGGCAGAACTAACTGAGGGGGTCAGCTGTATTTTTTGAGTTACTCCATTTGGAAGGGTTTGGAGAACATAAAGTGGCTGCATATTCTGGTTGACGACAAGGAGTTTTTCAGTGGCTGGTTTCATGTGAGGTGGAGTGGTCTGGACAGCTGCATTTGAAATTTGAGATGGACCAGGGCTATCTGTAGAACTAGGAACATATTTTTGATTCTGAAGAGGAACGGTAGGAGAAACAGGAACCTGAAGGCTAGGAGTGCTGCTGTTTCTAGTTAAGTCCTGGTTGTTGCCATGTCCTTGTTCTACCGAACCACAAGGAGGGCTAGCAATATGGTCTGCATCCATGTGCCCTTGGATGAAATGATCTGGAGTCATGTGGCCTTCTGGGGTTGGATCTACTCCTGGACTCAACAGTGCTGAGTCACTTTCAGTTGAGGCCACAGACTTTTCTGTGATTGTCACTCTCTTCTCCCCTGTGTCTGAGATTACTGCCAGTCTGTTTGGGTTCTGACTGGGGACAGTGGGACTCCGGGTAGTTAGGACAGAGAGATCTGATGGGAGCTCTAAAGGCAACTCAAACTGTTCCTCTGCTGACATAGAGGAAGACACACTACTGTCCACAGGCTCAGCTGTTGGTAACTGCTGAGAAAACACTTCAAAGAGGCCCATATCTTTTCCACGATTGCTGTCAAGACCCAACCCTTCCCCAAGAGTCAGGAGTTCAGATGAAGATGACTCTGGACTCTCTCCTAAAGCCTGCATGGATGGAGTATTCTTTAACACAAAGTCCATGATATCTGAGGGTAGGATATTACCACAGTCATCACTATTGTTGTTGTCAGAATCAGATTTCAGAAGTTCAGTATTGTAAGTATCTAGCAGGTTTTTGTCTGAAGGGGTACTTGTGTGAACCCTACGCCCAGACTCCAGTGAGCTGAGCTGGGCCTCCAAGGAATCTTGTCCTTGTGTTTTCACCCTGCTTACAGGATGGCAGTTGTCTATCTTTGGTTCATTAGTTTTATGACCAGCTGAACTCTTGATGACATGTTCCTTTTCCCCAGAATCTTCAGCTCGATCAAGCTTTAAGTTCTCTGTCCCATTTTCTTTTCCATTTCTTTTGGGAAGTTGATTGACTTTCCTTGCTGTGGTTGTGACACTAGTATCACTCTCTGTCCCATCATCTACACCATCTAGCTGTGAAATCTTGGGGAGGTCACATTGCTCTTCTTCCCGAAATAAATTATTGGATCCTAATCGCTCTTCCCCACTGGAAGAAATCACTGTTCTGGTGAAGTTATAGTAGTATAAATCATCTTCATCTGAGGTGCTTAAGTCATCAGCCCCATCCACTTGCCCTTCAGCTGACCTCTTTCCTCGCTTCTTGCCTGAAGAACTGCTGAAGAATGGAATATCTTCCTCCCCATAGGATCTCACTCCATAAAGAGGGGTGAGCCCAAAAAACATATTAGAGCGGGCTCGGGCACTGCGGCGAGGATATCTCCTCTTGTAGGAACTGTCTTCTTGAGGCTTGGTGCCATCTTGGAGCACCAAGTTTCGATCCTGGACAGGAAGAGTTGGACAGGTGTTACTATGAGATTCTTGGGATGAAGTATCATTGGGGCTGGGTTGTGCCACAGAGCCATCTCCTGGGCTTTCTGAAGTTGAAGATGATTCTGCCAAAGTTGCTGATTCCATTCCTTGGGATGGAGAAACAGGAACAATTTCTTTCAATGTGTTTTTGGACGGACTTTCACTTTCCATTTTCAATGGTGTCAAAGTTACTTTGACTGTCCGTTTCCGAGGTGTCTGTGATTCCTTGGTTGGTCCTTCCAACTGCACAGATGGAGTTTTGCTGCCCCCTGAAATAGGAAAGACCTTATCCCCACTCTTTTCAGAAGAAATATTATTACAAGGTCGCTGGCTTATATGCTCAGATGTTAAAACCTGATTGACAAACTCTGGCTTTAGATTTCCTTCCTCACCAGCCATTACCTGACTAGGATCCAAAAAAGACTTAATGGAATGTTTCTCTTTGAAAGTTTCTTTATTAGATTTTTTTCCTTTCTGTCTTCTATCTCTAGAACTAGATATCACTTGTTCATTTGTAAGAGATGATCTGCTGTTCACCCCGGGTGGCTTTAATGCTTTAGTTTCTATGTCTTCACCTGGAGAAAGGTTTTCTGGCTGGGTAGAGTTTGTATGTTGGTCTCTCTCTTTCTTTTGTCCTCTCAAATGGAGTGGCGGGAAAGAAAGGGTCTCTTTGGAAGAAAATGACACTGAAGAAGGTTCAACAAAGGTGCCCATTTTACTAATATTCACCTCTCCAGGTGTTGTATTATGAGCCTGGGGGGCTGGTTTAGGATTCCCAGGGTAAGTCAGGGTATGTGTTGAGCCTTCTGAGCCCTTGGAATTCAACATTTTGCCCTTCTCCCCTTTCAAGGAGGAGCTTTTAGTTGATAAGTCTGCAGCACTAATATGTTTCATTTCTGAAGGGGGAGGTCCATCCATATGACTTGCTTTAGTCCCAACTGTACCCAATGTCCTTTGAGAACTTGAAGAAGTTGGAGTGTTTTGACCCAAAGTATTTGGAGTGCTTGGATTTAATGACCCTAGGAAGTGGTCAATTGTTTTTACACTTGAATCACGATCAGTGGAGGCACCAATGCCAGAGATAGAGGAAACACTGTGACGGGAATAAGAATTCCCAGCTCTCATTGGGGACATTATCCGGAATTTGGACCGCTGTGGTGACAGAGAGGAAGTGCTGTGACGTCTGGATCCAATGCTTCTCAGCCCAGAGGACAGTAAAGGGTCTCCCACTGTGACTATCTCATGGGTAGTTGGGGTAGGACTTCCTAAATGAGAAAGAGAAAATAAAGTCTACAATGGAAAAAAATCCAAAATATCCACTGCTTTCAAATATCTACACATAGTTTAGTGAAATTTATAAAACTAGAAAAATTAATCATTAACAGCATTGACTGAAAAAAAATAAACTGAAACAGACTGGGGATTCTCATTCATGAGTTAAGGATGTCATTTAACTAATAAAGCCCTTTACCAGCAGAAGGCAATGGACGACAACCAGGGGATCTCTGTGTTGGAGAATAGCTGGGCATTCGGATTCTGGGGACTTTTGAGATGACATGATAGAAACAGGAGCTGGAGGTATGTGAATGAGGAGGTCGGTCTGGGGATGGAGGATTTATAATTTCAGCTGTATTGCGAATCTCTCTTGGTGGAACTTCTGTTGAAGAAAAAAATGTATTAAAAAGGTAGGTTCTAGTTAAGATATCAAGCTGATGACGGACTAAAAGCATGCAGTGAATATACTGGGTTAGAGACAAACAATATCATAGATAATTCAACTTCTCTTCTCATTCTCCTCCCAAAACACTTCTTCCAAGTATTCAACTTAAATTCCAGCTTGATAAGAGACTCACCTGTGAGAGAGGTAGGACTATGAGCAATGGTCCTATTCTCATCATGTTCAACAGTACTATTGATATCTGGCTCTACAACTGGAGGACGGCATTCCACTATCTTGCATGTATAAACACAGCGTTTTCGAGCATCTGTGGTGCTCCAGTACACCCTGGAACATCTGTAAAAGAGGTTTTTTAAAAGTACCTTAAGCACAGACAAGGCACCAACAAACCAAAAGGTTTGTTGAAACCTCATCTAAGGAGGCCCTGACTCTTCAACTGACAAAGTTCAATTACTATTTTATAGATTTTACTTACTGATATCCAATAGGAAAAAGCTTATCTTCACAGTCAGAGAGATCATTCAGAATTCCTAAACAGTCAATCGTCATTGAGCCTGATCAAACAAAGGAGAAATGATGAGAAGAGAGAATTTGAAGAAGGTTCTCTACATCAACTCCAAAGACAGGAAAAGATTCCCATAAATGCAGCATCTCTCTATTACCTATATCCAGTTCTTACCAATCATCATGTGGATATTTTCTGGTTCTAAGCCACTGAGAAACTTCCTTCTCAAGCTGATGCCTTCAAAGTCTACAAATACTCTTCTAAGAACTTCAAATCCATTCTCAGGAACCACCTTAAATAAGAAGGAAGGGGGACTATTAAAATACTATAGTAGTTTTATCTCATAGGATATATTCATCATTTAGCTTATTCCAGACTCAAAGAGTAGAGCTAATTCAATACCAGTACTCTTTCTTAGTAACGTCAATATTTCTAATGAGAAGACAAATCAGGGCAAGAAAAATGCTCATAGGAACTGACTCTTCAGGAGAACAAAATGAAGTTTCTCATCCTGTTAATTCTTAGCTAGCATTTTCCCCCCCAAGTTCCCAGAGAATTAAAAAGGCAATTGAACACCCTTACCTCTCCTTTGATCAAATCCCGATGTCGTTGGCAATAAACTTTTTTATCATCCAGAAATACACAATTCTTAGCTCGGGAACACATGAAGTGATAGTTGCTAGTGCAGGATGTGAGGCAGCAACCTACAGTGGCCCCTGGCTTTTGGCAGTACTCACATCTCTAAAAATCCAAGAGGAACAAAAGCTCTATTTAGATATTTGCATCTTTTGTGTCTTTCCCTTAGCAAACTTACCCCATCCTGACCACCCCCCAACTCAGGAAATTTACTGCTTGTCTGTGGTTACACACAGATATCAAATGTATCATAAGTACACTATATCTTTTCCCAATTTTTGCACAAGGCCCCACAACCTATTAGGTTTAAATATCACCATTTGACTTAGAACCTGGGCTTCCTTCTAGAGCAGTGAGTTAAAAAGGGAGACCTCCTAGATCAATGCTTAGGACATCCTCCAGTGGATAGAAGGCCATTAAATCCAAAAAGGGTCTATGAGTCCAGATCTCCTGCAAAGATCATACTGTTTGAATTACTTGACAATCCTTTGACAAGAAACATAAATGGCAAATTACCTAATTTGTAAAAATTAGATATTTTCATTATGATTCTCAAAGTCATACATTAACTGACCCTCCTTAGATTATTATCCAGGCAAATTATAGTTTGCTTTGCTTAATATCACCCTATCATACTACTCAAAGGCACTTATTCTTTCTTCTATACTTGCCATTTCTCCATATTTTTTTTGTGATGATCAACTCCTCCCTTCCCTTCCCCCAAAATACAGCTACGAATTCAGTTCTTCTATGAAAATTTATCTGTTTACACTCAGTTGGTATTGGTTTCTGCATTACTTCACATTCTCACTGAGTGTGCCTACGTTAATTTATGTCAATGTGCTACTTAGTGCCTGGCACACAAAAGGTGCTTAATAAATATTAACTGATTAGTTTATCATTTTAATAGGTTTGTACTACCTCTGTAGTTGTTTTTTAAGTGTCTCAAGGATAGAGACCTTTTCATTTCTTTTGTATCTCTCTGCCCCAGAGACCAATACAGGGTTCCAAAGAGAGTCAACACATGTAATTGCCTGAATATACAAAGCTATTGGTGAAGCAGCAGTTTACTAGAGAAAATAGAACATTAGAAAACTATGAAGGAATCTCCTTCCACAAAACTCCACTCCCAAAGACTCACCAACTGCTTGCCCCTAATCACAGCCATGTGCACATTCTTTAGGGACCCATCATCATCTTCAAACACCTCTGCCGACCACAAAGCACAGTTCACATGGGTCCACTCATTTTGACCAATGTAGAGCAAGCGGCCAGCATCCTATGGGACGTATGAAATTATTTTTCCACAACAAAGAACCCAATGCCAGGAAGGCTTTCTTTGGCACTGACTTTTAACTTTGTGAAAATAACTTCAGAAAATCAATAGCCTTTTAGCTTAGAAACTCAAATGAAACCATAATGTGACATTAAAGAACACTGCTTTCAAATCTTCTTAATACTTTTACATCAGGGCCAAAATCTAGGATCCAAACAAGTAAAATGGCTATGCTTATTAACTGAGGAAATTATCATATTCAAGTGATAACAGTTTCACTTTCAACAATAGGTTTACAGAATCAAACTCAGGCTAACAGACCAATATGGACCATATTACACTGGCCAGCCACACAAACCTGTGTCAGTCATAAGTTATTCTAGACATCATTTGTATTTTACTAACTTTCACAAAGTATTACCAGTGTGCCTTCCAATAGCAGTTACAGTTCAAGAGGGTGAAACTGAGATTGGTCACTTTAGCATTTAATTTGAACAAGCTGTCAGAAAAGTTCCAAGGGAAAACTGCTTTACTCTTAAGTGCCAAATAGACATAAAATATACAGAAATCCCCATGATCAAAATTAGTTACAAAGGGCAAACACATTCTGTCCTGGTGCCCGCTAAATAGAATACTAGGATGCCAAGTACTTACATTAGCATTATCATCACCATATGTCAAGCATAATGCACACTGTCGATTATCTTCTACACCTGGGGGTGGGTTCAGCTCAGGACTGTCCTCCCGGCTCCTGTCTGTATCTTGGGCCCCCAAAGAAAGATATGCAAGTTATGTTTGGCAAGTTTAGAAACTATGAATTTCAAGAAAATAGGATTTTATTTTAATTTCATCTTAAATAGTATTCTGTAGCCCCTAAGAAGCCATGGGTAGACATGAAGAGCCCACTAGTTTGGTCTTTGCCGTGTGTTAGAGTACTAAAAGACTTGTGACAACTCCTTGGATAATCTCTAAATGAGAAAATAATGAGGCTGCTACTCTTAATGACATCTTAAGAATTCCCCTCAGATTTTTAAATATGTTAAATTTAGTCTCATAAAGCTAGCACCTGCTATACATAAGCTTATATCTCATACAAATATCTGGTGAGGAAATATGATAATTTCTGGCTTCTTACTTAAGATTGGCGGTGTGGGAGGATGCAGAGGAATTGGCGAGTCTGGCTCTCCAGGGCCTTTGGGTTTAGGCGCTGGAATGATTTTCTTCATCAAAGGAGGCTGCTCGGTGTGGCTGTTCTCTTCTCTCTCTTGCCACTGAGCATAATTATGGTCAAGTGAAGGTGGTAGCACTGCATTTGGTAACATTCCACTGCTGAAAACACAAATTCAATGACATTTAACAAGGATTTATTAAGTACTTCCTATGGTCTAATTAAGGCTAAATAATTAAGACTCAAATATAACTTATCACACACTCTTGCAAAATGCCATAATTTGTGCCTCAAAAAGGACTGTAATGAAGAACAAGTGCTTAAAATACAATCTCATTATTGAATGTATATTTCTCTTTAAATAACTGTCTTGTCTCATTAATACCAAATGGCAGTTCTATCCTGGATATATATTTTTCCAAGTACAAGTTTAGATAATTGGATATGCTCACGGTCCCAAAAAGGCAGTTATGTTTCAGAGGCAGGTCTTAAACAGAGGTATTTCAACTCAAGGCCAGCTCTATATCCATTACGCCATACTGCCTCTCATAATTTCTACATACAATAACCAAAGACTGATAACCTACAGGTTATATCACATAGGTTATGATTCTGATCATTCTACAACACTAGTATTCTAATGTATTTCTGTTTTTAATAAAACCTAGACTAAAAGACTAATCCAAAAGTCTGAACAGTCATTTTTGAAAGGAATAGGATTTCTTGATCACTTCTAGCTCAAGAAACTAACAAATTTAAGAAAGTTATTGTTGAGGGATGCTAAAGTTACTTACTTGCTTGTAACTTTATTTGGTTCCCAAAACCTGGACTTTTTGACACTGAACCAAGGAAAAACACGTTCCATTTGCTGAATAAAACAGACAAGAATTTCAACAATTAGACAACTTTACCCTAAATTATTTCACCAGGAAGAGATTTCAGGTCCTAAAGAAAGATCCATCAATCCTGACAATCTTACCAGCAGTTCAAAACTCACCCCCTCACCTCCACCCCAAAGAAAAACAAAAGGTTGGGGGCAGCTAGGTGGTGCAGTGGATAGTGGATAGACTCCAAGGCTCTGGCCTTGGAATCAACAGGACCTGAGCTCAAATCTGACCTCTGACACTTGACACTTACTAGCTGTGTGACTCTGGGCAAGTCACTTAAAACGACTGCCTCACCAAAAAACCCAAAAAGCAAAAAACAAAACAAAACAAAACAAAAAACCAAAAACTGAAGATTGCTTAACTCTATATGGAACTGGTGTAAAAACAAAGCCTTGCAATGATGGAACAAGAAGTGAAGAGAGAACAAGTTCATTCTTTTTATAGAGAATAATTACATAGAAACAAATTTTTTAAAATAAAAAACTAATGTCACTCACCCGAATGAAGAAGGACTTGACCATGCTATTAGCTTTTTTAACCTCTGGTTGCCCTCCATCTGAATTGATAGCTGCTTGAATAATCTTCACGATATCATCACTGAATTCCAACTATTGGAAATACATAGTATACATACATAAACACATAAAAATGTACATGCCAAAAATGGAATGTTTTCCTTCCTTATCTAAATATCCAACACATGTGCAATTCTTAAAAAACCCAAAACTTGAAAAACAAAACTAACTCATATCCCATTTAAACACTGTAACAACATCATTGTAAAACATTGTAAACAATGTAACAACATGGCTAGGGACTTTGGGAACCAGCTAACAATCAACTTGTGTCTGCCCAGAGGTGTTAAATCTGGCCAAATTTTAGTATAAAGGTTAGCCAGCTAATAGTAAAGTACTACCCAAACAGTTCATAAATCATAAAAACAGTTTCTCCTTTAAGTTACGCTGCATAAATAACTAGACATAAATATAAGCCATTAAATGTTAAATAGTAACTCCAAACAAGGTTTTAAAAATTTCCTGCCCTAAAATTAAAAACCATCTGCAAAAGAAGATCTTAAAACATAAGCACATTATTTAAATCTGGTCCCGCAGGAATAAACTAATTAAGTTTACACTAGTGTTTTTTCTCTCCATAAATACTTTCTAGGAGACTTGAGTGTTCTTTTGAACATGCATTAATTTCCAGAAAAGTCAGGGGAAAGACAAACAAACCAACCTTATTCAAGCCCCTTTTCTGAAACACAAAACTGAATTCCCCCAAAGCTTTAAACATCTATTCCAAGACAAAATGATACATTTCAAAATAAAATGAAAATCATCATTTGAATTTCTTGTTACTGTGCTCTAGAGACATACCACAGATGTGTAACTTCCTTGGTCCATTTTCTTCTTTACTCCTTCCAGGTCCAAGGGCTGCTGTTCTTCCTGCTTGCTGACCTCAGTCAGAATCGGTGGATCAGGTCCTTCTGGGGAGCTTCGGGAAGGTATACTCTCCTCTGTCTCTGGATTTAAGTCAGGGGGCTTGGCAGCCTATATCCAGGAATGATGTACAGATAATATGTTACTTTCAATCAGTCACTAAGCATCTGGTCTCCAAAGTAAACTCTCTCCATGGTCTCTCTGGCCTCTAAAACATAAACAACTGTATTCATCATTTAAAGCCCTTCATAACCTGGCTCCCCCTTTTCGAGGCTTACTGAACTTAATTCTCCATCACCCATTCTATATTAGGGTCAAACTGGCTTGCTTCTTGTTACTCATACATTATACAGTATGCACTCCATATACTCCAATATTACAACTCCTTTCTTTGTACCTTTGCAAAGAATAACTTCAAAGCATAGGAGATAACACTTTCTCACCTTTGCCTCAGAGACTCCCTAGCTTCCTTCATAGCTCATCTCAAATGTCACTTTCCACACAAGGCTTATCCTGATTCCCCCAGTTGCTGGTACTATCCCTTCCAGTAATTATTTTTTATATTTACATGTTGCTTTCCCAAACAGAATGTAAGCTCTTTGAGGAAAAAGCAATGCCTTCTTTTCGTCTTTCTATTTCTAGTAACTAGCTTGGAGCCTGGTACATAGTGGATGCTTAATAAATACTTGTTGAAGAATGTATTCAGATCAAGGTGCACAAAAGTAAGAAGAAAGTGAGCAATCTAGCAACTACACAATTGTTAAAGTGGCTTTCCTACAACAGAGGCCTGACCATATCAACCCTCTACTTAAAAAACTTCATGGTTCCCTGTTACCTGTAGGATCAAATATAAACTCTATTTGGCATTTATTTAAAACCTGGCCCCTTCCTGTCTTTGCAGTCTTACACATTACTTTCCTGCAGGAAATGTACATTATGGCTTCTTATACACAATACTTCCATGTCTTTATACAGGTTGTCTCCCATGCTATACCCTCTCTCTCCTCATCTCTACGTCTTAGAATTCTTGGTTTTTATTTTCCTAGCTCTCAGCTTAAGTAACACGTACTACAGGAATCCTTTCTTTCTCAGGGGCTATTGCATTCCCCTCTACAGTTACCATTTTTTAAACTCTCTATCTTGTACAGCACTGTTTATGTCATCTCCCCCATTAGAATGTAAGCTCATTGACAGCAAGGACTGTTTTAGCACATAGTAAGCACTTAATAAATACTTATGGATTGATTGAGGGGCTATGTTTTATTTAATTTTTTTATCTTCACTAATTCCTACACCCCAGTGTTCTGTACTAGATGCTCAATTAATATTTATTGAAGTGGAGAACACCCTGTCACTTCCCCCACCCTCCAAGTTAGCTTTTGAGCTTTCCTAAATCCAGCCTGAAGAGTAATATTTCATGGTCAGAACTGCTTAGCAAAATTTCTTCTGAGGACGGCAAACTGCAGCTTTCTCCTAAAAAATGATACTACTAAAAGATCACAGGGCAATCTAGCAATATAGTAAGAGCTATATGAGTAGTAAGTAATTTCTTCACTAATACAGATTATGCTTCCATATAACTGCCTCTAAAACTCACCTGTCACTTAATAAATTACAAGGATTTAGGAGTCTAAAAATGTTAATTTTAACTTCAAAGTCTACCTGTAAGTTCACTAAACTTTCTGTCATGCAGAAGCAGCAATATGCCCAAAAAGACTCTTATCTAAATACCCTATTTTTTAAATCGAATTATCTTGGAAAAATAGAGACTTTGTCTCATAACTCTTTCTGTCCTCAAACAAAATCTAATATTGATAAACTGACAAATAACTAGGCAGCATCAGGTATGGGGAATTTTAGACCTACCTGTCTATAACGGAGTAAGTGGCTGGTGGTTCGAGAATTCAACAGTGCAGTTAAAACCTGTTTCAAAGAAATCTGGAGCTCTTTTTCTAAAGCCAACCTCCACTCGGCAGGATGCCGCACTGTACAGTTCACACAGGTATAGGCCACACTCTCAGGCAGGTTGGAGAGGATCTCATACATTTCATCTAGGGACAAAAGAATGTAATGAAGACTGTTCACAGGATGAGGGAAAGAGGAAACTAATCTAGTATCTCTCACATGGCTTGATACTTCACATCACCCACTCTATCTTTTCAGTGAAGCAGGTGATGATAACAATACTTTTGGTACCTCTGGGACCCAAAGGAGCTAGTTTTCCATGTGACTTACAAAATGGCTGTTACTAATTCACACCAACATAGAATTTGGTAATTGGGAGATTCACTGCATAGTCTATAAAAAGCAATAACTTGAGCTTTAAAAAAATTATGCAGCAACATGAATGAAGTTGAAAGGCCTGGAAATGCTGGGAAAATGGAAGTTTAGGTAAACTATTCGTAAGTATCCCAGAAGGTCCCATTCTCTGTACCTGAAAGGTTTTCACACTTGGAGTGAACCCATCGATCACATTTCCCACACTGCATCATCTTGCTCTCATAGTCATCATCATCATAACACTTGTCACAAAGTGGGCAGAAGTTTCCTAAAAGCAAAGCAATACTTTATAATAAAGTTCTCAATGTTTATTTGGGAAGACAAAAACAAAGCCTCATTCAAGTCGCTATATTCTTCCAGAATCACTCAAATATCAATAATCTTTCTTTTTATGTCATGCATTTCTGGAATGCTCCAATAAATAAGGAGAACTTCCAGAGCCGCTATAGTTGTACCACAAATTATTTCTCTCCATTAAAACTATTCACAAATATACAGAGTAGTTCAATTAGATGGCTTAAAGAAAGGAGAAAGAAAAGTAAATAAAATTAAAATTAGGAAAAAAGGAGGAAATATAGCTTAACAATCCTAGACAAAATGTTCTATCTGCAAAAAAAAAAAAGAGGGAGGGAGAGAAAAAGGAAGGAAGAAAGGAAAGAAGGAAAGAGATTACACTTACTATGAGAAAGAGAATCTGCCTTTTCACCTGTTTGCACTTTGATTAGCATTTTTGTAAAAAAATTATCTCTGCTTCAATACTTTAAATAAAACAAAATACTTTCTATAACTGTATTACTATACTCAAATGCAAGGAAAAGACCAAGGATTTGGGAAATGCTTCAAAGTGATAATATATATCTTTGACAACATCTACTACCTCCAACACACTTTTTAAATTCTGCTAAAATGATGCTCATATCACCTGTATGCCTTGTAAACAATATTTAAATGCAATTAATAAAATATAAACAGATTGTGGATTCTTCGAGTACCTTTAGCAAAGAGTTTGGCACAATCATGGCACAGTGAAAAATCATGAGACCACTGTGCATCCCACCCTTTGCCTGGAGTTGTAGATCCACAGCTCTTGCATCGAACACACTTGGTACAGATCTGGAAAAGAAGAGATAAACTTTCTTTTTTTTTTTTTTAAATAAATTTTTGTCAACATCTTTTGTTTTATATCACTTACATTTCCCACCATATCTCTCTTGACACCCCTTTCTTCCCAAATATCTCTAAGAAGCAGTCACCCAGACTTCACCTGAATTAACAGTAATGGAAGCTCAAAAGACTCAAGAATTATAGTTCTCTTTGGATAGTGCAATAAACTTACCCAAACTTTCTTTTTCTTGGTGGGTTTGGTTGGGTAGTTTGGTCCCAGGCACTCAGGGTGATAGCTGTTTCGGCACTTATTACACTCCAGCAGTTGCTGCAAAATCGAAAAATGCAAGAGCCATGAGATAGGTTTTACCCACCCATGAATATACAGCACTACTCTTTTTCCCATTTATGTTTCTAAATTCTAGTGTTTCTTTTTTTAAGACAAAGATGGCAGGATACTGTAGATAAAATTTACCCACCTATTATTTACCCTTAGTTACAGCAGAGATTTGCCTCTGGTTATAGCCAATCAGAATTTAAGGATATTTCTTGAGCATATCACCTATACCATTAATTTACTCTTGGAAGGCAAAATTTTAGCATAAAGGACCTAAAGATCCTTTAGAGACAGCTAGTGGCATAGTGGATACAGCACTAGGCCTGGAATCAGGAAAACCTGAGTTCAAATCCAGCCTCAAAACATTTACTAGCTGTGTGACCCTGGGCAAATCTTTTAACTTGTCTGCCTCAGTTTCCTCAACTGTAAAATGGGGGTAATAATAGAATCCACTTTGCAAGATTGTAAAGATTAAATGAAATATTTGTAAAAAGTGCTTAGTCCAGTGTTTGGCACACACACACACACACCCCCACGCCCACCCACACACACAATGTTCATTCCCCTTCCCCTCTCCCCTTAAGGTGCCTAGGAAGGTAAAGGACTTAAATACCTAAATGTACAAAAGATTACTGAAATATCATACTTAACATATGTATGTTCCCTTTGAAATAAAGTTTCCCTTCTTCCTCTCTGCTATTAGGATTGTTTCTGAAGAAAAGATTTCCAGAACAAAATATGTGCTCAAACATTGGAGAACAAATTGAAGGATCTGAATGTAATGGAAATACTACTATGTCATAAAGAATGACAAGTAAGAAGACTTCAAAGAAATATGGGAAGACTCATAAGAATCAAGACAGAGCAAAGATATCATAACCAAAGGAACAACAAACACAATATGAAAGTCAACACTAAGAGACAATTTAACTGTGGTCAAATACAATAATCAATATTAGTACTGTATTATCTAATCCAAAGGATATATCCCCCCATTTATCTCTTCAAAAATAAGATGGGAAGCACTTAAGAAAAACAACAGATTCAGAGACCAGGTCTGACAACGTATGCAACATTCTGCCCTTAAAGATCTCTTGTCTCTCTAGAGGCAGTGGGGTATGTTTCAATACTTTTCTCTGGGACTACAACTAGTTTAAAAATTTTTTTTTGTTGTCTTTTGTGACATCACCAAAATTTCTCTGAGTATTCCTCCTCCTCCCAAAAAGCCACCCCATTAGATCATACATTTTTAAAGGAGAAAAAAAAATCACCAAACTAATCAATACCTCAAAAAAGTCTAAAAATACTGTAATTAGATTTTCAGCTACTCACAGTTAGTGAGTCTTCTTTTAGCGAACTTTTCTAGTCACTGTGTACAATATACTGTTCTTTTGGTTTTGCTTATTTCTCTTGACATCAATTTAAACAAACTTCACAGGTTTCTTACAAGTCCTCAAATTCTTCATTGCTTACTGCACAATAGGCCTAATAAAAGCATTTTCATTCATTCATGACTTTTACCGAGAACAACATCTCTTCTTCCCACTTATTTGTTAGTACTTATTATATCTGATATCACTTTTATCAGTAATATGTTATATAAATATTTCCCCCAAACAGCTTCTCTTATTCTATGTGCATTGATTTTATTCTTTTATAAGCTTTTAAATTTTATGTAATCAAGTCTGCCTATTTTGTTTTTTATGATCACTTTTCTCTCTTGAAAGGTTAAGAAGCCTCTCCCTAATCAGAATTGTGAAAGGTATCTCCTTTATCATTTTTTATGATATGACTTCTTATTATCAAGTCATATATCCAGCTGCAGATACTATTATATTTAGATAAGATACTAGCCTAAATTCTGCAATACAACTTTTCAGTTTTCCAAGCTGTTCTTGTCAAATAAGGCTTCTAACCTCCAATAACTTATGCTGTTGAGTTTTAAGAATATGCTGAAGGAATTGGGAATGCTTAATCTAGAGAGAAAAGGCTATCAATCAAAAAGGGATTAGACTTGTCCTTAAGACATAAACAGAAACAAAAGGTAGATGTCAAAAATTTAGACTTCCTATCAAGAAAAGTTTCCTAACCATTAATTATCCAAAAATTAAATGGGTTGCCTCAGAAGTCAGAAGGTTCCCTAATGGTCATTTCATCTATAAAATTCTGTTATCAAACCCACTATTTTGGGTTTTGCTTATCTAATCTGTTCCAGTGATCTGCTTTGTTGTTTTTTTAACCACTACCAAATAGTTCATTGATGTTTTCTGGTATAGTTTGAGATCTGGTCACATCTTTAATTCCTACTTTTTTTTCATTTCTATTCTTCAGATTACAGACTTTTTGATCCTCTAAATGATTGTGTTATTTTCTTTTCATTTTATAAAGTAACTCTTCAGTATTTGAGGGGCATAGCATTAAAATTGTAAATTAATTCAGGCAACAGTATAATTTTTATTATGTTGGCCCAGGCCAACCAAGAACACTGAATATATCTTCATTTTTTATGTCTCTCTAGGTTTTTGTGACACCACTCTTTCCAGATTGCCCTCCTACCTGACCACTCCTTTGTCTCCTCTGCATTAGATCTTTAGCCACATCATGTCTGCTAACTATGGGGATCCCCTGGGCCCCTTAGATCTACCTGTCCAGCCCTAACCTCTCCATCTGTCTATGAGGGTATAAGGCATGAGAAGACCAGTAAGGTGGGGTGAGCATGGTATGAGGGATTTTGAAAGTAAATTAGAGGATCTTATATTTGGATCCTGGAGTTGATAGGGAGCCTATGGAATTGACTGTGTGTGTGTGTGTGTGTGTGTGTGAGGTGTGTGTGTGTGTGAGAGAAGTGTATGTGTGTGTGAGGTGTGTGTGTGTGTGTGACATGGTCAAACCTGAGCTTTTGGAACATCACTTTTACAGTTGAGTGGAGCACAGATTAAAGTGGAGAGAGACTTGAGGTAGGCATACCAACTTTTATATAGACTATTACAATACTTCAAGTGATGCAGGCCTGCACTAAGGAGGTGGCAGAAGCAGAAGACAGAACAGAGCATATGCAAAAGACATTATGAAGGTAAAATCAACAGACCTTGGCAATGAATTGGATATGAAGGAGAGGGTTTAAAAGAGAAGAGTCAAAGATAACCTTTAGGTTATCTAATCTGCCAAATAGTTTATTGATGTGGATACTGGAACTCGCAACAGGAAAAGGGAAGTTATTAAGTTTCTCCTGAACTTTCCTATTTCCGTCAAAAACATCACCCATTTTAGAGTCTACAAAATTTACAACTTTGGTATAAATCCTTAAAAACTCTCCTTCACCCCACATAATAAATCTGTTGCCAGATATTGCCACTTCGACTTCTAAAATCATGTCTCAATTCTTTTAAAACTCATCTCAAGCACTACCTTCTACATGAAGTTGCTCTAAGATACTTTGTACTTATTTTACATTTAATCTAGCTATATTTCTACATATATAAACTATCTCCTTCAATAGAATGTAAACTTCAAGAGAACAGAAATGTTTCATATTTTATTTTGTATTCCTAGGGCCTAGCACAATGCTTGACATATAGTAGGCACTTAATAAATACTTGATTGATTAGTAGAGTACCTTCTCTAGTTTTGGGGATAACTTTTGTAGCATAGGTATTTATTCCTCTTTAAACATTTGATAATATTTTCTTTGAAATTCATCTGAACCAATTGGCTAATATGACAGAAAAGGAAAATGATAAATGTTGGAAGGGATGTGGGAAAATTGGGACTAAAAATGCACTAATGGTAGAGTTGTGAACTAATCCAACCAGTCTGGAGAACAATTTGTAACTATGCCCAAAGGGCTATAAAAGTGTACATACCCATTGATCCAACAATAGCATTCATTACTAGATCTGTATCCCAAAGAGATTTAAAAAAAAAAGGGAAAAGGACCTATACGTACAAAAATATTCATAGCAGCTCTTTTTGTGGTGGCAAAGAACTGGAAATTGATGCCCATCAACTGGGGAATGGCTGAACAAGTTGTGGTACATGATTGTGATGGAATATTATTGTGCAATAAGAAATGACGAGGAGGATGCTTTAAGAAAAACTTGGGAAGACTTACATGAATTCATGCAAAGTGAAAAAGTGAAGTGAGCAAAACCAGGAGAACACTGTATACAGTAACAGTAATATTGTAAGTAAGCAACTGTGAACGACTTAGTTATTCTTAGTAATACAATGATCTAAGACAATTCCAAAGGACTCATGATGAAAAACGGTATCCACTTCAAGAGAAAGAACTGGTAAGAGTCTGAATGCAGATCAACGCAGACTTTTAAATTTTTTTTTCTTTTTTTTCGGAGGGGGTCCATGTGTGGTTTTTTTTCCACATGACTAATATGGAAATATATTTTGCATATCTTCACATATATAACCTGTATCAAATTTCTCACCTTCTCAAGGAAGGGGGAGGAGGGGAGGGAAGGGAAGGAGAAAATTTGGAACTCAAAATTAAAAAAAAAAAAGAATTTAAAAAATTGCTTATCTGTAATTGGAAAAAAAATATATCTAAAAAAAGAAATTCATCTGAACCAAGATTTTTTCCATCAGCAGTTTACTTTTGGCTTGCTCCAATTATTTTTTTCTGAGATTGGGTTAAGATTTCTAGGTTTCTGCTTTAAATTTGAGTATTTTGTATTTTTTGTTGACATTTATTAATTTCCTTGTTTGCATGTAATTTTGCATAAGTTTCTGATAATTCTGTTCATGTACTGTTGTGAATTCATCTTATTCAGTTTTTAATTTGCCAGTATGATTTCCTATCTTTGTCTTGATCAAGTTGTCTTAGTCTTTTATTGATAACTAAACCTTTCTTCTTAAAAATTTGTATGTTGAATATATCCCACTCACCTCTGAGTTCTCTGGAAAGTATGATGCAAAAGTTTCCTTTTGCTGAACGTTCAATTTTTTTTACTGATGAATTTTGCAGAATTTATGTTATT